CATCATCATCACCATCACCATCACCATCATCACCATCATCATCATCACCATCATCACCATCACCATCATCATCACCATCACCATCATCACCATCATCACCATCATCATCACCATCATCATCATCACCATCACCATCACCATCATCACCATCACCACCACCACCACCATCACCATCATCACCATCATCACCATCATCACCATCACCATCATCATCATCACCATCACCATCACCACCACCACCACCATCACCATCACCATCATCATCATCACCACCATCATCACCATCACCACCACCATCATCACCATCACCATCACCATCACCACCACCATCACCACCACCACCATCACCATCACCATCATCATCATCACCACCACCACCACCATCACCACCCATTACACGTCACCATCCCTGCCACCTCCACCGCCACCACTTGAGTTATTCTTCCCTGTGAGATTTAGCAATAGAACAGCTGGGTTTTAGTTCCACCTTTGCTGATTTGCTAACGAGCTGCCTGTTGGCCTCTCAAATAGGAAACCCGGCTTCTCTCTGCAGGCTCTGGGCATCCTTGGCTATTTTCAGGCCCTAAACCCAGGTGGTGTCCTAGTAGGGTGCCCTGGCCTCCCGAAGGGGCTTACGCAAGCTATCTGGCACAGAGCTGTTCACAAAGCACGGATGTGTGCGGACTAGTGGCCTATTCCTTCTCTGTGTGTGCATGCACAAGGCCTGCCCTGGTGCCAGCCCCGAATCCAGGCCCTGCCTCTCACCAGCCTTTTCCCTCTGCCACTGCCAGCATTTTGCTGGATAATTGGAAATGAGAGTCTCACGGAGTTTCCTGCCCCATCTGGCTTTGAACCTGGATGTGATGGTCAAGGCACACACATCACCGAGGAAGCTGGGGTCAAAGGCGGGTCCCCTGAGTCGTTCATTAAGGGGCTAGCGTCCAAATTTGGGTGGATCGGTCTTGAAATAACTCCTCTGTGTTTTTTTAACCCAGAAAAATCATACCCTACTTGCATAACTTCATAATATAGGGAGCAAAGGATTCAACTCAGCAATCGCTAGTTCCATGAAATAATCGTCGTCTTCTCTTGAAATACTGACACTCATTACGCTTCATTTGTCTCCGCTTCTGCATTTCAACCTCATGATCATTCCTTTTCCAAACTCTTCCACACGCAGAAAGCAAACTAAATGCGCCAGGCCATCACGGCTGCTCTGATGTTCTGGTGTCTTTGGCTTTTCAAATCTTAAATAATACCTAAAATGCCTTGGATTTATGCACCCCATTATGCCTTACAAAGGACTTGCATGCACTTATTTCATAAAAATGAGTCATGTCTGGGGAAAGAGAGAATGATCGGATGAAAGAAGTAGATGGACTTGGAAACAAGATTCACTGGAGTACAAATCCTGGCTCTGCGAAGAATTCAATCTTGGGCAAATTATTTAGCCTCTTCGCTTACATTTTCTTATTTTGTCAAATTAGAGGTGTAAACAACTGCACCATGAGCTTAGCTATCTGGGTTAAAATTGGGGTTTCGAGGGTTCAGAGCAAAGTGAGTAGCCAGGACACGGAGCCCAGGGATGCGGTGTGAAGCAGCCCCCCCAGCCCCCCGACACCAAGGGATACGGTGAGAAGCAGCCCCCCCAGCCCCCCGACACCAAGGGATACGGTGTGAAGCAGCCCCCCCAGCCCCCCGACACCAAGGGATACGGTGTGAAGCAGCCCCCCCAGGCCTCCCCCCCCGGAATTCCTCCATCAAATCTGCTGCTCTGGTAAAGTAGGCAGAGGTGTTAGACATCTAGATTTTCAAGTGATCAAATAAGACGTGATGACAAATCTAAGAAAAATGACACCAGCTCTTGGATGAAAACAAAATCAATCCCCCCCCCACAGCCCCCATTCCTTAGCTCCCCTCTTCCTTCTGGTGTCTTCCATCTGTCATACTTAGACAGAAATCCATATGTCTAGTGTAAAGCCCTGTTTCTCTGGCAACAGCCAGGCCACTTAGCAAGAGTCTAAAGCAAGCCAATATAATATTCTTCTCCGAGTAATTTCGGCCAAAGGTCGCCGTGCCAGAGTAAGTTAATTATTCCAAGAGGGCTTACTTTTACTATAATTATTGATCTCCAGGAAATAATGAAAAAAGAACCTGCTATTTATTAAATGTTTTTTAAAATCTCCCTTAGATGCATTTACATACATAACACATTTCACCTTCACCGCAATTCTGCAATACGTTTCCTAGTTTTAAGGGGAAAGAATCAATGACCAAGTTGGTGAGATTTCCCAGGGTTACCAGAGGCAGGCAGAACGGAGTCAGCCGTAATTGATGGTCTGTTTCGTTACTGTGACTTCCAGTTTACAGCGGATGCCTGGCCAAGAACAATCCGAGGCTTCGCCTCCCCAAGTTCTTGTTGGGTAGATCAACCAGGCCATCAGACTCTGGGAGCTCAGAGGAAAATAGGCCTGAGGTCCCTCTGTTCAGCATGCTCAGTCATGACAGTGATGTGACTTCTGCTATAGTATCGTGTGCTTGGCACAGCTAAGTCAGTCCTACAGACATTAAGTTTATCTCTCCTCCTCCTCCTCGCCTCTTCCTCCTCCCCTTCTCCTCCTCCTCCTCCCCCTGCTCCTGCCCCTCCTGCTCCTCCTCTTCCTCCCCCTCCCCCTCCTCCTCCACCTCCTCCGTTTCTTCCCTTTTCTTTCTTTCTTTTTGGGCTCTCGCTTTGCCATGAAGTCATTTCAAAGCCTCCTCTGGCTTCAGCCCCATTTCATAACTCTGTCTCAACATTCTGAATTTCTGCAGGGCAACATGGCTATTCTCCTGACACCTCCTACATAGACATCTATTCTCTGTCTGTCTGTCTGTCTGTCTGTGTCAGTTACTACCTGTTCATTTCCAGCTCCCAGACATTGGCCAAGTTCCCTCATTTCTGATGAAACACTGTCCTGTTTGTGTTTTTTGCAATTACTTCTGTCTCTCTCAGTGAGTGGATTTTGGGAGAGATTGGGAGCGCATGTGAGGACCTGTACCACGTCTAGAGAGTTCTTACATCTCATCACTGTTTATCCCAGAGCCTCACACCATCATCAGAGAAAGAGAATCATGAGTGCCCAGGCTGGCCAGCAACACCTCCAAAACACGGCGGTGTGTGTGTGTTGTACACGTCAGTCTGATGGCCAAGATGGGAGGGAAGGAGGAAGAAAGGGAGGAGGAAGAGAAAGGGGGAGGGAGGAAGGGGAAAGGATGGAAGGAAGGGACAGGGGGGAAAGGGGGGAGGGAGGGAGGGGGAGAGACAGAGGGAGGAAAGTCATTCCCTAAAAGAATTTTTAATCAAACATGTAATAAACTTCCTACTTTGCATACTTTTTCTTCATTAATACTTCTTCAGCTTCACTATTAGGCAGTATAAAACATTTCTATTTTCACACAATAACTGCCTCGGGATTTGGCTCTCCAAACCACCCAGGAGGCAAAAATTACAATTCTACTGTCAAGAGTCTGCTTTAAACCCCAAAGCTGTCCTTATAAAAACTGCATCCCAGAAGAGCGTTTGTGCATTTAAAACATCCTATTTATCTTCTCTGGAGTTGGAATCTGGTGTCAATGTTGGCTTAACAATATGGTGGTAGTTCTGTGCACGCTTCGGAGGGCAAAGCGAGAAACAAGCCGAGGGGCCTTTCTTACTCTTGCGATTCAAGGCTGGCCTGCCCTCTTTCCGGGCACACGGTGGCGTCTGCGACCTGGGTACACAGCGCTGGACACATGCTCACCGGTCTCCACTTCGCCATGCGCCCAGCTTAGATGACTTGGCTGCAGCAGTGGCTACGGGAGTGCAACGCAGAACTCTGTGCCTGGCCTGTAAACTCCCTGTCTGGGATTGTTTTGGATCTATGTGGCCACAGCTTGGAATGGGGGTATGTGCTAGTCACACACACATATATTATAATCTAGTTATACAGCCCCTCTCTGCTGCTCTCCGCCCAACTTCTCATCTCTCTATTATTCAACAACTGTTGGTGAGTTTCCTCATGCAATCTTCATCCAGGATACAATACTCAAGAGATAGACACAAGAATGCAAGAGCCATTATTCCTCTGATCAGCACAGGTGCACTTGCCACTGTCTTGGGAGCTCAAATGGTAGAGCACCAGCCACGAGCAAAAAAGCTGTGCAAGAGGTGAAGGCCCTGATTTTAAGCCAAAGAAGAAGAAGAAGAAGAAGGAAGAAGGAGAAGAAGAAGGAGAAGGAGGAGAAGGAGAAGAAGGAGAAGGAGGAGGAGAAGGAGAAGAAGAAGAAGAGGAAGAAATGGACATGATCCATAATCAATCGGATGAAATTTTACTTTGATGTAAGTTGAAAACTTGTATCCTTTGAAAGAACTATGCACATATGAAATGAACCATCTATATTACTCGATCAGTGGAAGAGACTTCCTATATCTTAAGAAAAAAACATAGCTCTCTTAAGATCGAATTCCTTGATAGGACAAAGAAGCCAATGTAGACATAAGACTTCTACACTAATTAGGGAAGATGAAGGAAGGGAACGAAACCCATCACCACAGAAACTCGCACAGAAGTTTATAACCTGCATTCATAGGGTTCATTTTCCAAAATCAAGTCACTGCAGTTTCTGATAGCATTTTCAGTGTCCTAACACATGTTCTATGAAGGTCTAGACTGCTTACTAAACACTTCAGAATACAGAGCTGGAGGTGAGCGGTAATGAATGTGAACAAGTGAACACGCATTGTGTCTCTGCATGAAGAGGGCTTAAGGAAACTCACTAAAATCTGTTGAATAATAGAGGAATGGGGTGTCGAGGGACACGCATAACGCAATGCAGAACAGATTCTATTGTTCGGAGTGTCAGCCCAAGAGAGGAGAGCCTGGGTTGAGGGCAAAGGAGGGTGGAGTGATGTATCTGTGTGAACAAAGAGAACAATAAAGCCTGTTGAAGCTGTTCGGGAAGGGGAGTCAGGTGACCAGGTGATGGGAGGGGTGAATATCTGTTTGTTGCCCGAGTACGGGAATGCCACCACTACCGCCCTTGTACATATGCTGGCAAAGGCAGCTTCTCAGAGCGAGAGGGGCTCCCTGCAATGTCCCCACTGTGAGATGCCCACCATGCCAAACACAGCTCGTACTAGCACATGCAGCCCAGGAGGCTCACACGGCCGCCGCTCTGGGGCCAACATTCTTGGCCGGTACAGACTTTGGCAAGAAGGATACTTTGCGGGTTGGATGTGTGACTCAGGTAGTAGAGCATCAGCAGTGAGCAAAGGCGTCAGATACCAAGTTTGAGTCCCAGATGCAGACAAAGCAAACATGCTTTGGCTAAGATCCACATGTTCAAGCTATCGCCCATCCGTGGCAGCAGACTATGACAAGCACAATCCTTCCCTCCCGAGTCACAGAACCAGTGCACAAAGACAGCCTGGGACCCAGAAACTGCCAGATGCTCTATGCACAGGCATATAGCCTTTGAAGAGAGGAGTTTCTGTGATTGGTGGCGCTGTGTGTGTGTGTGTGTGCGCGCGCGCACTGCTCTTGGGGCCTGAACTCTGACCCTGGGCTCTGTCCTTAGCTTTGCTCCACTTCTGGCTTTTTGGTGTTTCATTGGAGGTAAGAGTCTCGCGGACTTTCTTGTCTGGGCTGCTTGAAACCTCCACCCTCAGATCTCAGCCTCCCGCGCAGCTGCACTTGCAGGTGGGCCCCGCTCACACCTGCCTTCATTTCTGGCTTTTTGTCCTAACCTGGCACCCTTTGCCTGCACACTCATAAAATGGTTCAAGTGTAAACTTTGATCACTCCTGCTTTTCTAGGGCAAAAGAAAGATTGTGTTAGTCTTAGATTGGCTGATGGCCCACTGTGATTTCCTGAGATTACTAATGATAAAACACTTCAGATCAAGAAGTAGAAGCTATGTAATATAAAATTTAAAAAAGCTACCTACCTTTATAGGATCATATCAGCCATGAAGTAATGATACAACATCAGCTTGGGTTAATTGCTATATAGAGGGCAAGAAACAGTTTAAATAAGAGGGCAACACGATTCACATGGTTTGATTAAATAAGGTTTACTGTTTAAGTAAAGGCCGTAACAAAGCCAAACCAATGTTCATAATATCATTCAAGATAATATTGAGCTATGATGATATTACATTATTTTCAGAAACATTTTAGTACCTATAATTAAACATTAATTAAATATGTTCATATGCATGCATTTTGAAATTTATCCTCTAAATAGATTTTTAAAAAAGTGTTCCAAGACAACTGGTAGATGTCTAGGGTACTTTTAAAAGTAAAAACACAGCACTGAAATAGAATTTGCTATGTTTTTGGTTATATCTCATTTCCAAATGAAGCATCTGCTTTAGATTTAGTCCCATTATTGAAATGAAATTATGGAACTAGTTATAACACAAAGACCAAATGGTGTAATTGGAAAATATTTCCTTTGTAGACAGACAAATCTTGTTTAAAATCTGGGCTCTGCTACATCAGGTACAATTGACCTGAGGCAGAGTTCTTAAGTTCTCTGAGTCCCTGCCCATTGGAAAATGCCCACCCGGCCAGCTGACCCTGGGAGAGCCGCACAAGCTGATGCATGAGAACTCAAAGGGTATTTTTCTTTTTTCCACACAGTGAAAATGTAAACCTAAAATAATGACTGTATTTGTCCCCTATCTTATACTGTAAAAAATCTTTTAGTTTTTTTAATATAGTCCTTTTCTTGTTCATAGAATTACTGTTTGTTTGCTTTTGTTTTGTACTGGCCCTGGGAGCCATCTGCACTGGGGCTTGAGCTCCAGTCCTCCAGCTCTCCCCCAGCTCATGGCTGGTGCTTTACCATTTGGGCCAGACTACCATGTCTAGCTTTTTGATGGTTAATTGGAGATAAGATTCTCTCAGATTTGTCAGTCTAGGAAGACTTTGAACCTAACTTCTCAGATCTCAGCTTCCTGAGTAGCTAGAATTATAGGCAGGAGCCACCGGTACTGCCTTGGTAATAGCTTTCATGACATAATTCATGTGCTGTGCACTGACCATTAAAGCCTAAATCTGAATGACTTCAAGTATATTCACAGGACTGTGCATCCATCACCACAAATTGATTTTTAACATATTTTGTATTATTCCCCAAAGAAACTTACTCTCATTAACCATCACCCTGCTGGCCTCCAATGCTGCCCAGCACTGAGCATCCACTAGCGTGCATTCCGTTTCTGCAGGTCTTCATCTTTGGAACTGGGAGGGTTTGGAATCATGAGTCCCATCCAGATGCCATCTGCCATGCTTGACCAAGAAAAGAGCCTCGATCAGAGGCATCCTCAATGGTGTCAGCCAACCTTGGACTTCCAGCCTACAGAGCAGGGAGCTCACACACAGCTTCTCCCTATAACTAGCAATGGAAAACAGACAAGCACATGCGTGTTTCACACCAGCACAACTGTGCAACGCGTGGATTTTTGTGACTACTTCACAAAATGCACCACCTCTCTGGCACCATCTATCCATTCGGAAGCCTCAGAGCTCTTCTGAAGGGTGCGTGGGCAGATGGGGGGGAGCAGCACACTGGAGGGACGAGGCCTGCAGTTCCAGCCAACACCGGCCTCCAAGGGGCCGCCAGGGCTGGGTTTAGGAAGTACAGTGGGGTTACCAGACATGGAAGCAAGGCGCCTCTCTGAACATGCCCCAAGGGGTCGGTGCGGGTGTGGGAAGAGCTGCCATTATCAGAGCATAGCAACAGGCCTTTACTAGTAATCACCACTGTGCTGTGAGTGTAGCACCAAGGAGTGAAGGTGCGTGCCACCTTAGCTTCCCGCCTGTGCACCGTGCTCATGGTTCTGAGATAATGCGTGCCACCTTAGCTCCCCGCCTGTGCACTGTGCTCATGGTTCTGAGATAATGCGTGCCACCTTAGCTCCCCGCCTGTGCACTGTGCTCATGGTTGTGAGATAATGTGTGCCACCTTAGCTCCCCGCCTGTGCACCGTGCTCATGGTTCTGAGATAATGCGTGCCACCTTAGCTCCCCGCCTGTGCACTGTGCTCATGGTTCTGAGATAATGCGTGCCACCTTAGCTCCCCGCCTGTGCACTGTGCTCATGGTTCTGAGATAATGCGTGCCACCTTAGCTCCCCGCCTGTGCACCGTGCTCATGGTTCTGAGATAATGCGTGCCACCTTAGCTTCCCGCCTGTACACTGTGCTCATGTAATTCATACTCATGTTGGCAGTGGAAAAACATGTTGTTCTTGTTTCTTTGGTTTTGCGCTGGATTGTTAAAGAAGCAATGTCCCACCTCTGATCATATAAAATAACACTTATCAACATAAACTCCAGGAATTGGAAAGAAGATGTTTTTTCCCCTGTTGTTGCTTTTGTTTTCTTTTCTTATTGTACAAAAAAAGCCTTACATGACTTATGGAGTTTCAATAAAATTATATGTCATGGAAACATGTGACAGTCTATTTCATGTTTTCATGACATAGCTAGAACTGCAACACTTAAAATGTAAAACCTATCCTCGTTTACTTAGTAGCACATTTGTTCTGAATATAAGAGACATTAGGACACTAGGGTGCTGTCTGGGTCTGGGTGCTGTCCCTCAGCTCTTCAGCTCAAGGCCAGCGCTCTACCACTTGAGCCACAGCACCACTTCCAGCCTTTTCTGCTTATGTGGTGCTGAGGAATCGAACCCAGGGCCTCATGCATGCAAGGCAAGCACTCTACCACTGAGCCACCTTCCCAGCCCCTGTCTCTGAGCTTTTTCACCCAAGCCTAGGGCTCTACCACTTTGAGCCACAGCTCCATTGTGTTTTCTGATGGTTAAGGAGATGAGAGTCTCACGAACTTTCTTGCCGTGGCTGGCTTTGACCCGTGATCCTCAGATCTCAGCCTCCTGAGTAGCAAGGATTGTACCCAGCTCATACATAAGTATATATGTATACATACAATTATATGTCCATTGCACAGATGAAAAAAGGCACAGACAAATTCAATGATTTTACTTCGTTTATCAGCTAGTAAGCATTGTGACTGGCATTCAAATCTATCCAAATTATCTGACCTCAGAATACGTATTTCAGAGTATTTGACCTCAAAGTATGTTCTCAACTCATTTTACTGTTTATAAGTTCCTTGAATTATAGATTTATCGTCATCTTGATCTTAGAAATAACAAATCAGACTCAGAGACATTAGACAAATATTCTAGGGTACCAAAACGACAAGTTATTTGAAATCCCTGAAAAAAGAACCACAAATATCAAAGATCTTTTTTTTTTTGAAGGCTAGTTGCTACAAAGAAAGATAATTCTGTAATTCCTAAGGGCTCTAATGTCCTTTCTTTAATTTTGTGATAGAAATGAATTCTTTGACACCCTGGAGCACCTTCTGTGCTAATTTTAATAGCTGTCGTGACATAATTCCATCTTAAATTTATTATCTTACGACACAGAGGTAAATGCATACTTTGTTGATAGATAATCACAGAAGAGAGGGCTAACTGGGACAGATCTTGAGACAGCAGTCACTCCAATTTACAAGGAAGAGCAGCTGGCCTCTTGCTTCTAGGATTCCCTGGTGAACACACAAGGGTCAACATCCTCCACAAGGTCCAAGCCTGTATTTGTACCAAAGGTGTTTTAGAGGAGAAAAAGAAGTCACATGTCCAAAAATTAAGCACCTGTTCCTTTCATTGGGACCTGAAATTCTAGCTGAAGTGCAACTTTCAAACATACAGAAGTCAGGCAAAGGCAGCAGGGAGTTATGATGGTCTTACAGAGAAGATGTGGTGTGGTCAGCAAACATTGATGGTGCTTTGGGAGGTGTTGGAGGGCGGGAGTCATAGCTGAGATTGGACACCAAAAGTATTTACACATCTGGGTGCAGGCAGCTCATGCTTATGATCCTAGCTGCTCAGGAGGCTGAGATACGAGAATTTCAATTCAAAGCCAACCCAGTGAGACAGATTTCTAAGACACATCTCCAGTGAAACAGCAAAAGATTAGAAGTGGAGCAGTGGCTCAAGTGGCAGAGTACCAGGTATGGGGGGTGGGGAGGAAGAAAAGCTGAGGAAAAGCTCGAGGTCTCAAGTTCAAGTCTCAGTACCAGCTCCAGTCAGGGAGGAGTCTAACTTTTGAGATACAGGAAAAAACGTTAAGGATTAGGAGTACAGTTGTGAAGATGAAGATTCTTGGCTAGGCTGTGGATAGATTATGAAGATTGA